CTTGAACTTATCGGTCTGGTTTATCAGCCATGGTACTCATGTTTTTCTCTCACAACAAATCAGCTTCAGCAGGCTTATCAGCCGCAGAAACCATCAGCTAAACTTGTACTTAGGTTTTCATCAATTTTCCTTGATACACCATTCATATATGGTTTTGGATCTAGTTTTTTATAAACTTCACCAACTCTTTTCTAAATTCCTTGATATACCGTTCATGTAGGTCTTTTTTCATATATAAACCGGGTCAGCTCTTCTCTACATACAAGAGCAGGAACTTTGTGCTTTTTTGGAGGTTGCTTCGAAAAAAGAAAATCAACAACAACAAAGCCTTTAAGTCCCAAATAAGTTGGGGTAGGCTAGAGTTGAAACCCAGTACAAACAATCAAGGTTCAGGCACGTGAATAGCTGTTTTTCAAGTACTCCTATCTAAGGCTAAGTCTTTGGGTATATTCCATCATTTCAAGTCTCCTTTTATTGTCTCTACCCAAGTCAACTTCGGTCTTCCTCTGCCTCTCTTCACGTTACTATCCTGGCTTAGGATTCCACTATGCATCGGTGCCTCTAGAGGTCTCCGTTGAACATGTCCAAACCATCTCAACCGGTGTTGGATAAGCTTTTCTTCAATTGGTGCTACCCCTAATCTATCACGTATATCATCGTTCCGAACTCGATCCCTTCTTGTATGATCGTAAATCCAACGCAACATACGTATTTCTGCGACACTTATCTGTTGAACATATCGTCTTTTCGTAGACCAACATTCTGCACCATACAACATAGCAGGTCTAATCGCCGTTCTATAAAACTTGCCTTTTAATTTCTGTGGTACTCTTTTGTCACATAGGACACCAGATGCTTGGCGCCACTTCATCCACCCTACTTTGATTCTAGGGCTAACATCTTCATCAATATCCCCGTCTCTCTGTAGCATTGATCCTAAATATCGAAAGGTATCCTTCCTAGGCACTACCTGACCTTCCAAACTAATATCTTCCTCCTCCCGAGTAGTAGTGCCAAAGTCACATCTCATATACTCAGTTTTAGTTCTACTGAGTCTAAAACCTTTGGACTCCAAAGTCTCCCACCATAACTACAGTTCTGATTCACTCCTGTCCGACTTTCATCAACTAGCACTACATCGTCTGCGAAAAGCATACACCAAGGAATGTCCCCTTGTATGTCCCTTGTGACCTCATCCATCACTAAGGCAAACAGATAAGGGCTCAAAGCTGACTCTTGATGTAGTTCTATCCTAATCGGAAAGTCATTCGTGTCTCCATCACTTGTTCGAACACTAGTCACAACATTGTTGTACATGTCCTTGATGAGCCCGACGTACTTCGTTGGGATTTTATGTTTGTCCAAATTCCACTACATAACATTTCTTGATATTTTATCATAAGCCTTCTTCAAGTTAATAAAAACCATGTGTAGGTTCTTCTTCTTCTCCCTATACCACTCCATAACTTGTCTTATTAAGCAAATGGCTTCCATAGTTGACCTTTCGGGCACGAAACCAAATTGGTTCATAGAGACCCACGTTATTGCTCTCAAGCGATGCCCGATAACTCTCTCTCATAGTTTCATAGTATAACTCATCAACTTAATTCCCCGGTAATTAGTATGGATGAAAACGGTACGGATATTTATTCGACCGTCCGTTCGACCGAACAAATATGAACACTTATTCGGATAGTTACTCGGATATCCGGTTTTTTTTCGGATACGGATACTAAAACGGATATCTTAGGCGGATATCAAATACGGATGTAATATCATCGATATCCGGCGGATATCGGATAATCCGGATAAGTATCGGATATATCCGGATATTTAAAAACGGATATTATCCGGATATTTATTCAAAATTTAAAAATCACAAATTTGAACCATCCAAACTATCTCAAATGGAAAGTTGACAAAAACAACAATTGTAGATCTTGATGAGTTGAACAAACTTGGTATTCAAAACTTTTCAATTTGAAGTCATTTAGAGTTCATAATACTAGAGTCAAAGTGTTGTTTTTTCATTTGACCAAATTTGACTTGGTCAAACTTGCTCAAATAAGACACTAAATGACCTCAGATGAAAAAACTTTGAATACCAAGTTTGATCATCTCAGCAAGATCTACAATTGTTACATAGCTCATTTTCCCATTTGAGAAAGTTTTATCAAACACTAGTCATAAATTCTTGAATCTCATATAGACTTTCTGAAACTATATCACACACTTGTGAAATTTGAACTATATTTTATTCAAACTTTCTCAAATGAAAAAATGGCCTATATAAGGATTGTATATCTTGATGAGATGAACAAATTTGGTATTCAAAACTTTTCAATTTGAGACAATCTAGGGTTAGAAAACTAGTTTGTAAACGTCGAAATTTAAAAATCACAAATTTGAACCGTCCAAACTATCTCAAATGGAAAGTTGACCAAAACAAAATTGTAGATCTTGATGAGTTGAACAAACTTGGTATTCAAAACTTTTCAATTTGAAGTCATTTAGAGTTCATAATACTAGAGTCAAAGTGTTGTTTTTCATTTGACCAAATTTGACTTGGTCAAACTTGCTCAAATGAGACACTAAATGACCTCAGATGAAAAAACTCTGAATACCAAGTTTGATCATCTCAGCAAGATATACAATTGTTACATAGCTCATTTTCCCATTTGAGAAAGTTTTATCAAACACTAGTCACAAATTCTTGAATCTCATATAGACTTTTCGAAACTATGTCACACACTTGTGAAATTTGAACTACATTTTGTTCAAACTTTCTCAAATGAAAAAATAGCCTATATAAGGATTGTAGATCTTGATGAGCTGAACAAACTTGGTATTCAAAACTTTTCAATTTGAGACAATCTAGGGTTAGAAAACTAGTTTGTAAGCATCGAAATTTAAAAATCACAAATTTGAACCGTCCAAACTATCTCAAATGGAAAGTTGACCAAAACCAAGAATTGTAGATCTTGATGAGTTGAACAAACTTGGTATTCAAAACTTTTCAATTTGAAGTCATTTAGAGTTCATAATACTAGAGTCAAAGTGTTGTTTTTTCATTTGACCAAATTTGACTTGATCAAACTTGCTCAAATGAGACACTAAATGACCTCAGATGAAAAAACTCTGAATACCAAGTTTGATCATCTCAGCAAGATCTACAATTTTTACATAGCTCATTTTCCCATTTGAGAAAGTTTTATCAAACACTAGTCACAAATTCTTGAATCTCATATAGACTTTACGAAACTATGTCACACACTTGTGAAATTTGAACTATATTTTGTTCAAACTTTCTCAAATGAAAAAATAGCCTATATAAGGATTGTAGATCTTGATGAGCTGAACAAACTTGGTATTCAAAACTTTTCAATTTGAGACAATCTAGGGTTAGAAAACTAGTTTGTAAGCATCGAAATTTAAAATCACAAATTTGAACCGTCCAAACTATCTCAAATGGAAAGTTGACCAAACCAAGAATTGTAGATCTTGATGAGTTGAACAAACTTGGTATTCAAAACTTTTCAATTTGAAGTCATTTAGAGTTCATAATACTAGAGTCAAAGTGTTGTTTTTCATTTGACCAAATTTGACTTGGTCAAACTTGCTCAAATGAGACACTAAATGACCTCAGATGAAAAAACTCTGAATACCAAGTTTGATCATCTCAGCAAGATATACAATTGTTACATAGCTCATTTTCCCATTTGAGAAAGTTTTATCAAACACTAGTCACAAATTCTTAAATCTCATACAGACTTTCAAACTATGTCACACACTTGTGAAATTTGAACTACATTTTGTTCAAACTTTCTCAAAATGAAAAAATGACCTATATAAGGATTGTAGATCTTGAATCCATGACCATGACTCCATGAGACCCATGAAGAAGCAATGTGCTTGGCTATTTCTACTCATGCCGCCAAGATTAGTGCTTATATGATGTTTGATGTATGATGTATCTCGTATCTTTATCTTATTTGTTGCTTTACTCTTTAGTCTTTCGGCTTAATCTAGATGGATTATGGACTCATAGAGTGGTGTAATGGTTTCATGCATCGTATGATATATATATATATATACCGCTTTTACTCAATATCCGAATAGATATTTGTATCCGACCTTCTCCGAATCCGATTCATACCGTATTCGATACTCATTATTCGTATCCAGAATCGAGTCAATCCGTATTCGTATATGTATCCGAACGCTATCCGTGTCCGAATCCGAATCCGAACAGAAATATGAAAACAAATATAATATGAGTGATATCCGTTCGTATCCGATCCGTTTTCATCCCTAATAATTAGTACAACTTTGAATATCCCCTTTATTCTTATAGATCGGTACCAATATACTTCTCCACTTGTCAGACATATTGTTCTATTGAAAAATACGGTGAAAATCTAAGGTCATCTCCTTTCAGAAAAAAAGAGTTACTGTCGGTGTTGGGGGAATTGACCCAGGCAACCACATGAATTGACAACGATGGTCAATGATGATGTAGCACTACAGAGTTACTGGAAGCCAACAAGATATCATCTGCTGCATACAACAAGATACTGTAATAAAATGTTGCAAACAAGGCAGCCCAGTAGCAAGAACGAACTTATATGCATAAATAATCTGAAACGGAATTCATTGATTGGTGAGCTCAGTTCGACTCTGTACATCATACAGGCCGCAAAATGGTACATACATGAGGAGGCAGACAAAAACATGATTCTCAGCCTCACTCAGGGACAGTCAAGGAACCAACCTGACTCTGATGATCAATGCAACGAAGCAACAGAGAAAACAAATACAATCCTCTGCTGACCAATGCTCTGATAAAAGGCACGCAGCTGGAACAAGGTTTTCTGTGACTTGACTTGCATTTTCCACTCAGGAATATTGGGTGCAATTCGTCCAGCACCAAAAATGTTGAACTTCCAACAACGATCTTCCTTGGCTGATAGTAACAGAACACAATTTTTGTTGTTGCCACTTCAGGGTTTCGAATGATCGATGGGTTTATCAGGGACCGAAAGTTCATCCTTGAGCATAAAGGACAGATCATGCATCTGAGCAAGCAACTGTTCCACATTTGTATTAGCAGGCTCTGGTTTATTAGTTGGCCATAATGAAGATAGCGAATCAATATCACCCATCTGCTGTATTCTGTTTGTGCTGCACACATTTAACAATGGGATCATTTGAGACAAACATTATATTACATCGCATGATGAAAGAGATCTCGCAAACAATCACCTAATTCTAGCACATCTGAAAATGATTTCAATGACCAAGGTAAGGTCAATTTAGCTAGACATGTACTGAGTACAATACTGGATGAGAAAGCTGAGTGGGGTAAACAAGTCCTCTTTGGACAAGCTTAGCTTGGAATATTTTTTGCAATAGTTTTTCCCTGCACTCAACTAAACCTTAAGGTTTAATCATTAAAAGCCAAGAAAACTAAATAGGGATCAAAATTCAGAGAAGCACGACAGCTTATGGCACCATGTACCATTTCCAAAGTCCTACAGACCAGTTATATTTGCCTTATCATATTTTATTAAAGGAACTACACGTGTTTCTTTTTTAAAAAAATATTGTAATTCCCTCTAATTAGGCAGAACAATTTGGAAGCTTTGAGGTTTGCTAGCTTGGCTAGTTTGGTCCTTGGGTAAAATACACATAGTTTGAACAATTGGACGTTATTAGAAGTATATATAATTGATTACCCAGTTCTTCCCATACCATAAACAATAAGATTATATCCTCAAGTGAACAGGTTTACATGATCATAATCCACAAATCACTAACCTTTTCAAGAGGTCATCAGATAGAAATTCTTTTGCTTCATTAGAAGCCTCCTTTTTATCCTTTAAGTTTTCGGATGAAGCTAACTGCAAAACACTCCCAAACTCCAGCCCTCCAAAAGCATCAGGCCTTGATGCTGAGGTTGTATCAAATAATGAAGCATCTGAAGAAACTTGTAAGAATGAAGCATCTGAAGAAACTTGTAAGGTTGTTTGCTGTGGACGGGAGTTTTGGAAATCTTGCCAGTCATCGAATAGATCATTATTTTCACTTATCTGTTCAAGGTTCTTTTCATTAGCATGACTTGAGGCCCATAAGTCCATAGTTTCGGCCACTGAAGGATCTTTCACAAGGTGCCCTTCCACAGGAATTTTAGTACTTCTCTGAGCTTGATCAAAACTGGCAAAATCCTGCCATCCATCAGATGAGGCATTAGTTCTCCCAACAACATCACTGCTTTTAGACTCCTTGAAGTTGCTGGTAAGCCACAAATCTAAGGAATCATTTTCTTTAGCTGGTTCAGGTGACACACTACTCGGTTCTCTCCCAAGACTAGACATGTTTTCTTGCAGATGACCTGATTTAGTAAAATCTTGCCAAACATCAAATGTGTCACTTTCTACATTTGTTGAGGATGTTTTTGCGGCATCATTACTACTGGCATTTGCCCACGATTGGACAGAAACACTTCCATCATGCTGCTCAAATGGAACACCTATCATTTCTGCACCGGTGCTAGATGAATTTGGCTGTGCTTGATCTGAACCAGTGAAACCTTGCCAATCGTCCAACATGTTATTTTCATTCACGGTACCAGTATTTGCTGGCTCACTAAAATTTCCAATGAACCATGAGTCCATGTCTGTTTCTTTGTGACTGGCTTTTGGGACCTCCATCATGTCCCCAGTTTGATTCAACGAAGTGTCCTGGACTTGACCGGTGGTAGTAAAATCTTGCCAATCGTCAAAAGAATCATTTGTTTCCTTAACCATTTCTGCAGCGTTTTGTGCTTCAACATTACCCACAGGCCACAGATCAACAGGATTAATTTCTGAAGAATGTTGATGCGAGATGTTGCTCATTGTCTCTTCAACAACAACTGGTCTCACCAAATTTAGCCCGTGGCCACTTGTTGATCGCTCCACAGATGTCACAAAATCTCTTCCTTGACCAGACACAGAAGCAAAAGCTTGCCATTCCGAGGAGTCTTCAATAACATTATCGGGTGATTCCTTGTTGCCTACTGGCCAGGGATCTATTACATCCTTTTCAGATGAATCTCTCTTTAAAGGTTCCTCCATATGTTCTCCTGCATTTGATAGGCTGCCCTGATTACCACTTGCTGTAAATTCTTGCCATTCATCAAAAGCTTCATCATCATTGACTCCAGTATCATCCCTTCCATGTAACTGATCGCTCTTAGCAAAATTCATGTGGAGAGAGGATTCAGTGAACTCAGGAGCACTGTTGCTCTCAAAGATAGGCTGGGCAACCTTTTGATTAGAAAGGTCATCACCAAATAATGTGCCACTTGCTGAAGCCCAATCTTCTGAATGATGTTCCAGGATGGCACTTCTCGCATTTGTTTTATTTTCAGTACCTACTACAGGTTTGATGGCAGTCTCTGAAGCTGGGAAACTAGAAGACTCGGCCTCAGAAGAGCTCTTAAACAGATCAGGTTGCTTGGAGTTTTTGGCAGCACTTTCTGAACTAGCAGACTGAAAATCAGCATCCCAACTTGCAAATGCTGGAGTAGCTTCAATCTGATTTGTTCTTTGAGAACTAATTAAGCTTTTAGATGCAGCATGCACCTCCAATCTAGATTCATGGTTTTTGCTATCAGTTCTTTTCTTTTCCTGCTCCACATTATGAGTTTGCGGAAGAGAAGCAGAAGTCATCTCTTCTTTTCTTTCAACAAAAAATGAATCTAGGTTAGCAGCAGATAAATTTAGTGTATCCACAGAAGATGATTGCTCCTTTATTATGGAACCTGCAGATGTTTCCTTATTTTCAGGGAGGCAAGTGATTTTTAAGTCCAGTAGATCAGATATGATCATCCCACTGTTTGGTGGTGGTGCATCCTTGCTTTTATTTGAAGCTGTAGTGTCAGTATCGAATTCTACAAACTCCTAAAAGGAAAGAGAAGAAGAAAAAAAAAATCTTCCATCAGCTATGAATAGATACAGGATTGAACTTCAGAAACAAGACTATATGTTTCCTGCCTACTTTGAATTTAAAGAGAAGAACTAGGACAATGATATCAATACACGTAAATTCACCACAGATTTGTCATACTGGAAGATTTAATCTTATTAAAAATCAGTCCATAATTACAATGTATGCAAGATCAATGTCTGTTAAACCGCATGGAGCTTGCATTCCACAGATGGCTTTTACACATTAATACATAGTGAGTGAGCAAGTAACATGCGAATGGTGTAGTAGTCAAATATAAACAAACAGCTAAGCAGGTATGCATGGATATCCAACAATACGAAGCATTCTCTACACCCCAAAAAAAATTATATCCAATTCAGTGCTATATCCAATATTGGTCATACATATACAAAAACAAGATTTGATATATAAGTGAAGATTTTGTGTTAAATCAAGCCAGATATTTATATTCAACTATCAGATTCACGGTACCAGTACATCATAGAGGATCTTAGATCCCATATGACTGTTATATGGGGCTCCACCTATGAAAGCAGAACGGCGCAAGGAGGTTGCGGGAATTTCAGCATGATCAAGGGGATTCAGTGCCAGAAGGAAGGCACCATCAGAAATTAGCATCTTGCCAATTACAATTAATTTAAATTAGGAGATTTGTTTAGGTTGTTCCCTAATTCACCAAAGATCTGTTTGGCATGGCTTATTTGAAGTTTATGCCTTTCTTCTATGCAGCAAAGATACCCAAACACACAGCTTAAGAGCTTCTCTCATTTTAACTGGTGAAGCGGAAAACAGGAGAAGTGGCCTGACCCCAGCTTTTTTTTCAATGCAGCCAGCTTCTCCCTCACTATTGTGCCACCATCCACGTGCCGCTCTCCCCCATCATGCTACCCTCCACCTGCACCCCTCCTCACCCGTGTGTAAGCCGCGCTGCTTCACCTGCTCGCCTTCACCACTGGACAGCTCCTCGGCTACCCTCTCCTCTCCATTGCCAGTCAGCTCTTCCGCCGACCACTCACCCCCGCCACCGTGTATCCAAGAAACCACCCCCAATTTCCCATGTGAGGAGAGGAGGATATCTCTGCCGACCACCGCTGAGCTTCTCTTCGCCAATGAGATCCACCATTAGGAGCTCAGGCCCATCAGATTCACTGTCGGGAGTACCAGGATCAGGCCAGGGAGTGGCAGGCTCGGGGCAGTGAGCAGCGGGATTGGGTCGGTTAGCAGTGGGATGGGTGACGAGCCCTTAGGTAGAAGGCCCTTCCTTCTTTGCGACGAGCCTTCCTGACAGGTGGATCACACAGGTGAAAAGTGGTATAAAGTATAAACGCTAGGCATTCAAAGCACCATCCATTTTTATCTAGCTACTCCTATAAAAGAAAAAACAGCTGCTGTGGGCAGCCAGTAAAAAATGGCTTAAAATAAAGCCTGAGCCAGGCCAAACAGAGCCTAAGAGAACAGAGCCTAAAGAGGGAGCAGATGAAATACCAGTTTAGTAAGGAAAGTAGTAGGTAAATCTTTCATTCTTCTCAGAAACTGTGAATTTGTGCCCAAATGTGTACCCAACATTTCTGAATAGAACTTGCTGCAAATTTTGTTTGATGCCATTTGAGACTATTAAGAGATCCGGCAACTAGATTGCAGGTAAAATTACTCTAGAATGTGCCATTGTAAAGTTCTTGCTGCCAAAAGGCTATTATGATTCATATGGTAAGCTAAACTAATTCAGAATTCATGTAAACTAGTTTGGTAGCTTCAATAAGAGCACCCTGTAACCAATAACTTCTGAGTAGGCCACTCAGAACACACTTAAAAAATTGTACAGGACGGCTCACTCTCCCTGTAAGTCATGAACTAACCCAAAGGGGGTCAGTTAATGAAACCTAAGTAAAGGGCCTTGCCAAGAAGGAGATAAATCCTTTTGATCAAACAATCAACAAAAATAGATAAATAATTGCAAAAGAGAGTGGAAATAAAGATTCTAGTTATAGTGTCCAATTAAACTTACATCAGCAACATCTTCAAGAAAACAGAGATCATAATATCCAAATTGAGTTAATACATTCACTAATGCTAAGATGATTACTGCAGAAGTCGATTGGAACATGAAAGTTATAAGCATATGAAGGTCCAAATTTTACTACCTCTGGTTAATGTAGCATGTCTACAGCCTCATTAGAATGCCTTATTTTGTACTATTGCGCTTGCCTCATAACTCAAAACCCTAGCAGGGCATTTCTTTCATGGCTATTGAATTCTGATCAAATAAAAATTTCCAAACATGTTCTACTATTCATACAGACCCATTGGCAACGGACATTTCTCTAACTACTTGGTACTTCTTAGGAATAGCACTGCATAATAAGTAAAAAAAATGCAATAGCAATTCCGCAAACAGTTAAATTAGAAGTTCTCCGGGAGCATAACATCCTCTTCTTTCCCAAATGCTGGTTCAGGTTTGCTAGAAAGAAGAGCTCACAGATCCTAAGCAACAAGAATCAAATCTACAGATTCTTAGCGCCAAATAATGTAGGAAGGAAAGCTCACGGATCCGTCGAGTCCAAGCGAGCCGAGCAGCCACCGGTAGGCCGCGCCGTCACGGAAGGCGATGCCGCCGCTTCCACCACCTTCTGCCTCGTCCCCGCGCCTGGGGCACCCGCAGTAGGCGCAGAGTGCAGACTGCGCACCGCGCAGGAGCCCTCCCGCCGCCCCGCAGCGCACGCATCGGAGCTCCGCCGAGACGGAGGCGGCGCCCGAGTCGAAGGCTGCGACGGCGTCGGCGACGGAGGGGAAGGGAGGGGCGGGTGCATCTTCTGCAGAAGGGGCGAAGGTGGCCTCGCGGAGCGAAGACTGGAGGCGGTGGATGACAGCGGTGGGGATCTCCATCGGCGGGGAGGAGCGGGCAGGAGTGTGCTGGTGGGAATTCAGATCTCTCCAGGTTCCTGGCTGTGTTGGGCTTGGGCAGTTGGGGTCGGCGCTTCGCCCTTGTCTCTCTTGCCGTGGGACGTGACAAGCTCATTTGCATCGTGCCTGGTCCACGACAGCAAGAATCGGTGGGAGATTTACCTGAGTTTTATTTGAATTTAATAGTCTACCATATATATATTTTCGATGATATAGTAGTATTTTAACGAAGATAGAAGAAATAAGTTTTATAGAGATAAAACTCTCTTAGCACGATTACCAACTCTCTATGAGTCTTAGAATTAAATGTCTATGAAACCATAGAATAAAACTTTGCATTGAGACTGGTTGTTTCATCAAAGTTTCATTCCATTCTATGTGATACGGCAATTTTGAAAACAACATAATAAAACTCTCCACTAAGACTAGCCTAAGTGTCTTTTTTTTAACAGGACTAAGTGTCTTTTTTACTCGAATAGGCAAGAGTCTTATGTATCTTGGCATTCAAAGAATAGCGTTCGGACATTTGATGCCCGCGCCGGCTATGTGTCGCGTGCCCTGCCTGCTCCGATTTGCAGCTCTGTTTCTCGCAGAACGCGCCAAATTACAGCACGAGAAGGCGGTAGGAAAGGAAACCACCTCCGTGTGTACCGCACTACGGCTGCATGCGCACACTTTATACTCCACCGTCCGTTCCTAGCCCTAGCCTGGCGTGTGTGTGCCGACTGGCGATTGCGTTGCCGAGGAAGAAGGCCAAGCGGAGGCCGCCCGCGTGTGCTCCATTTCACGCGCAAGTAGGAATCCATGCGCCCCTCCGAACGCAGATATAAAACATGAAACACTCAACATGAAACGAATGCAATATACATCTAAAACAACTGAAACATTTAAACATGCACTTGCAATATACGCGTGAAACATATACAATATCTAGATAAAACACTTGCAATATACATCTGAAACAGATAAAATATTTTTATATACATATTGCAACGTCTAGATGTATTTTTGCAACATCCAGGATATAAAGAAAATAAACCCTTGGTCCATTTAGTTTGGATTTTGGTATTTGATGATAAACACAACCAAGTTGGACTAATATGTTTACAAATGTTTATTTTATAGTTCAAATGGATGCAAGGTGGACTTTGACTTAGGCAAAGAGGTGATCCGGATGATCAACTCCTCAAGCAAGATATTAGAATCTTTTTGAAGACCTGCAAGACATGCTAGAAGTCAAAGACACCAAGAAATAGAAGTGCGGACACAAATACACAAAAAAGTTAAAGCCACTCAAGCCGGGACAAAGAGGTGAATGAATTAGAATTGTCTCATGTTTTTGGATCTACTCAAATTGGCATGACACTAGTTCAAAGCTGTAGAGCTTTTCATTAGCTTTCCGAAAATTTCAAGATCACTAAAATCAGAGTTCTGAGCTAAAAGTTACGTCCAAAATACGAAAGTGGGTCTATGCTGAAAATGGAGTATCGGACCGTCCGACGCTCCCAAAAAAACGACTAGTTTCAACAGTAACCTACAGAAAGCATCGGACTTTGATGCAACAGTCCGATGTTGTCAGTGTTTTATAAACCAGACTAGTAAACTTATACGATTGCCGCGCTGCTCTAGGAAGACGATTGTAGCATCCAATAGACACGAGGATTTATACGGGTTCAGGCCGAAGCCCTACGTCCAGTCTCAGAGATGATCAAGTGCATGTTTCTCGCTTGAATGCTCTAAAGTTTTTACAATAGAGGGTGCAAAAATAGTAAAGACGTGGAAGGACCTATGCTAGGTGAAGGGTTGCCCAAAGGAAAGCTCTAGGAGCCTTACTATAATGGTGAATGAATGGAAGGGTAGAGGATGTGAATCGTGTTGTCCTGACGGTCCTTATATAGAGTTTGAGGCCAGGGCTTGTATAAAGAGGAGGTTCTCCTGACCGAGAGGTCGAGAGCCCGAGGGAGGGCCTAGCTAACTTGGCTTGCAAGCTACGCCATCTTCTGATGCACGTCCGGTTGTGGCTATCGTCATGGTCTTCTGGCCATGTTGCGGCAGGGTGTGATGTGGTGCTACCGTACCGGTCGTGGCGGCACTATAGACACGGTGGTGATTCGTCAGCCGTCCTGTGCGACGCAGTACCCGTCTTGGCCTTCGTTGCCATCTCCTGGTTTCCCAGGGCGTCGCACGGGGAGTTGGTAGCCGCCTCGGGTCATCAATTGCCTGGTGGCTTTATGGGGCCGAGGGCCGCAACCCCGATTGTCGGGGTTGAAAGGTCCTACTGGCTAGAGGGGGGTGAATAGCCTAATAAAATTTCTATAACAACACTTAACAAAAGGATTAGATAATTATGAGACGAAGCGAATTTTGCGCTAGCCTACCAAAATACAAGCCACCTACCACAATTCTAGTTTAGATGAAGTATATCCACACAATAGCTATATCACTACACTAAGTTAGTGTGCTCTCAAAAGCTAACTAAAGAGCCACACTAACCAAACTAACAAGCTCTCACAACTAGTTACACTAAAGAGCTTGACAACTAGTTTGCGGTAATGTAATGAGTAGGCAAGAAGGTTATACCGCCGTGTAGATGTATGAACCAATCAATCACAAGTGTGGATAACAATGAAGACCAATCACCTCGGAATCAACATGATGAACACAATGATTTTTACCGAGGTTCATTTGCTTGCCAGCAAGCTAGTCCTCGTTGTGGCGATTCACTCACTTGGAGGTTCACGCGCTAATTGGCCTCACACGCCAAACCCTCAATAGGGTGCCGCACAACCAACACAAGATGAGGATCACACAAGCCACGAGCAATCCACTAGAGTACCTTTTGGCGCTCTGCCAGGAAAAGGTCAAGAACCCCTCACAATCACCACGATCGGAGCCGGAGACAATCACCACCCTCCGCTCAACGATCCTCGCTGCTCCAAGCCATCTAGGTGGCGGCAACCACCAAGAGTAACAAGCGAATCCCGCAGCAAAACACGAACACCAAGTGCCTCTAGATGCAAACACTAAAGCAATGCACTTGGATCACTCCCAATCTCCCAAAGATGTTTAATCTATAATGGAAATGAGTGGGAGGGCTTTGGCTAAGCTCACAAGGTTGCTATGTCAATGCAAATAGCCAAGAGAGTGAGCTTGAGCCGGCCATGGGGCTTAAATAGAAGCCCCCATGAAATAGAGCCGTTGTACCCCTTCACTGGGTACAACACGGGGTGACCGGACGCTCCGGTCCGATCGACCGGATGCTGGCCCTCAGCGTCCGGTCACGTGATTCACGCCACGTGTCCCGTACTTCAAATACTGTTCGTCAGATTTCAACGGTCGTCTGCTGACCGAACGCGTCAGTTAGAAAGTGACCGGACGCTGGACTTCAGTGTCCGGTCGTTTCTAGTAAGGTTTCAAACGTGATTTTTCCCGACCGGACGCGTCCGGTCATGCTTGACCGGACACAGCCAGCGTCCGGTCACACAACGTCTCCTCTATACGCCCTACGTCAGCGTACGTCAGCACTGACCGGACGCACCCCGCCAGCGTCCGGTCGTTGAGCGACCCAGCGTCCGATCATGAGACCGAAACGCACGCCCTCTGCTGCCACTGACCGGACGGGCCGGTCCAACCGAGACCAGCGTCCGGTCACTTACAGTGACCTCCGTCTTTTCTGTCTAGGGCGCCGGTGGCACCGTCGGACTGTCCGCACTCTACGGGCGGACACTCCGCCGGTGGAGTTTCTTACCCTTGCACCTAAACTTCACCACCCTTGATCAAATGTGCCAACCACCAAGTGTATCACCTTGTGCACATGTGTTAGCGTATTTTCACAAATATTTTCAAGGGTGTTAGCACTCCACTAGATCCTAAATGCATATGCAATGAGTTAGAGCATCTAGTGGCACTTTGATAATCGCATTCCGATACGAGTTTCACCCCTCTTAATAGTACAGCTATCGATCCAAAATGTGATCACACTCTCTAAGTGTCTTGATCACCAAAACAAAATAGCTCTTACAAATTATACCTTTGCCTTGAGCTTTTTGTTTTTCTCTTTCTTCTTTTCCAAGTCGAAGCACTTGATCATCACCATGTCATCATCTTTATCATGCTATGATCTTCATTTGCTTCACCACTTGGAGTGTTCTACCTATCTCATAATCACTTGATAAACTAGGTTAGCACTTAGGGTTTCATCAATTCACCAAAACCAAACTAGAGCTTTCAGGGGTCGGGTCTTTCAGCCGGTCTGGATGGCCTCTGTGTTGAGACCCTTATCGTGGATCGCATCCCGTAGTGGGTGGGTCGGTATATCCATATCGTCGGGCCATATCTGGTCGGTGGTCTTTGTACCCGTTATCCCCACTTTGAGGCGGTGTTATCTTGTCCGTGCGGCGTGGCACAGGGTTGGTATCTGATCGGGATGAGGTGACCGCTGTCCCCTAGGTCCTTGTAGGGTCAGTGCAGCGTGCTCGTTTTTGTTAGAGCAGAAGTGCTTGGCCAGACGTGACCTCTCCCCATCTCTTCTGAGGGTCATAATGGGGAGAGGTCGCAAACCCTCTGGCGCTCTTCGATCGCGTCGTCCCCGAGCCATGTTGCTACCTACCTCACCATGTGCCGTGGCTAAGGTCACAGAGCGCGTCCTTCACGTGCTCCCCTACCGCGCAGGGAAATCATGTTCGTGATTAGCCCCTAGGGGCTGGCTCGCAGCTATCGCGATGTCTTAATTCTCCCATTTGTAGAGGTGGGCCTGCTGAAGGTCACCACCTATTGTGATGACCCCGTGTGGGCCAGGCATCTTGAGCTTCAGGTAGGTGTAGTTGAGGATGGCCATGAACTTAGCGTAGCATGGGCGGCCCAGTATGGCATGATAGGCGCCAGGGAAGTCCGCTATCTCGAAGGTGAGCATCTCCATGCGGAAGTTGGCTCGACCCCCGAACGTCACGGGTAAGTTGACTTGCCTGAGGGGGATGGCTTGG